TGAGGTTATTTTGTGTCTCTTTGTGGTTGTTTTCTGTCTCTTTAAAGGTTTTTTATGTCTCTTTGAGGTTTTTTTGTGTCTCTTTGAGGTTGTTTTGTGTCTCTTTGTGGTTGTTTTGTTTCTCTTGTTGACGGCTTATGTCTCTGTGGTCCTACAGTGTCTCTTTGTGGTTGTTTTGTGTCTCTTTGAGGTTGTTTTGTGTCTCGTGGTTGTTTTCTGTCTCTTTGAGGTTATTTTGTGTCTCTTTGTGGTTGTTTTCTGTCTCTTTAAAGGTTTTTTATGTCTCTTTGAGGTTTTTTTGTGTCTCTTTGAGGTTGTTCTGTGTCTCTTTGTGGTTGTTTTGTTTCTCTTGTTGACGGCTTATGTCTCTGTGGTCCTACAGTGTCTCTTTGTGGTTGTTTTGTGTCTCTTTGAGGTTGTTTTGTGTCTCGTGGTTGTTTTCTGTCTCTTTGAGGTTATTTTGTGTCTCTTTGTGGTTGTTTTCTGTCTCTTTAAAGGTTTTTTATGTCTCTTTGAGGTTTTTTTGTGTCTCTTTGAGGTTGTTTTGTGTCTCTTTGTGGTTGTTTTGTTTCTCTTGTTGACGGCTTATGTCTCTGTGGTCCTACAGTGTCTCTTTGTGGTTGTTTTGTGTCTCTTTGAGGTTGTTTTGTGTCTCGTGGTTGTTTTCTGTCTCTTTGAGGTTATTTTGTGTCTCTTTGTGGTTGTTTTCTGTCTCTTTAAAGGTTTTTTATGTCTCTTTGAGGTTTTTTTGTGTCTCTTTGAGGTTGTTCTGTGTCTCTTTGTGGTTGTTTTGTTTCTCTTGTTGACGGCTTATGTCTCTGTGGTCCTACAGTGTCTCTTTGTGGTTGTTTTGTGTCTCTTTGAGGTTGTTTTGTGTCTCGTGGTTGTTTTCTGTCTCTTTGAGGTTATTTTGTGTCTCTTTGTGGTTGTTTTCTGTCTCTTTAAAGGTTTTTTATGTCTCTTTGAGGTTTTTTTGTGTCTCTTTGAGGTTGTTTTGTGTCTCTTTGTGGTTGTTTTGTTTCTCTTGTTGACGGCTTATGTCTCTGTGGTCCTACAGTGTCTCTTTGTGGTTGTTTTGTGTCTCTTTGAGGTTGTTTTGTGTCTCGTGGTTGTTTTCTGTCTCTTTGAGGTTATTTTGTGTCTCTTTGTGGTTGTTTTCTGTCTCTTTAAAGGTTTTTTATGTCTCTTTGAGGTTTTTTTGTGTCTCTTTGAGGTTGTTCTGTGTCTCTTTGTGGTTGTTTTGTTTCTCTTGTTGACGGCTTATGTCTCTGTGGTCCTACAGTGTCTCTTTGTGGTTGTTTTGTGTCTCTTTGAGGTTGTTTTGTGTCTCGTGGTTGTTTTCTGTCTCTTTGAGGTTATTTTGTGTCTCTTTGTGGTTGTTTTCTGTCTCTTTAAAGGTTTTTTATGTCTCTTTGAGGTTTTTTTGTGTCTCTTTGAGGTTGTTTTGTGTCTCTTTGTGGTTGTTTTGTTTCTCTTGTTGACGGCTTATGTCTCTGTGGTCCTACAGTGTCTCTTTGTGGTTGTTTTGTGTCTCTTTGAGGTTGTTTTGTGTCTCGTGGTTGTTTTCTGTCTCTTTGAGGTTATTTTGTGTCTCTTTGTGGTTGTTTTCTGTCTCTTTAAAGGTTTTTTATGTCTCTTTGAGGTTTTTTTGTGTCTCTTTGAGGTTGTTCTGTGTCTCTTTGTGGTTGTTTTGTTTCTCTTGTTGACGGCTTATGTCTCTGTGGTCCTACAGTGTCTCTTTGTGGTTGTTTTGTGTCTCTTTGAGGTTGTTTTGTGTCTCGTGGTTGTTTTCTGTCTCTTTGAGGTTATTTTGTGTCTCTTTGTGGTTGTTTTCTGTCTCTTTAAAGGTTTTTTATGTCTCTTTGAGGTTTTTTTGTGTCTCTTTGAGGTTGTTTTGTGTCTCTTTGTGGTTGTTTTGTTTCTCTTGTTGACGGCTTATGTCTCTGTGGTCCTACAGTGTCTCTTTGTGGTTGTTTTGTGTCTCTTTGAGGTTGTTTTGTGTCTCGTGGTTGTTTTCTGTCTCTTTGAGGTTATTTTGTGTCTCTTTGTGGTTGTTTTCTGTCTCTTTAAAGGTTTTTTATGTCTCTTTGAGGTTTTTTTGTGTCTCTTTGAGGTTGTTCTGTGTCTCTTTGTGGTTGTTTTGTTTCTCTTGTTGACGGCTTATGTCTCTGTGGTCCTACAGTGTCTCTTTGTGGTTGTTTTGTGTCTCTTTGAGGTTGTTTTGTGTCTCGTGGTTGTTTTCTGTCTCTTTGAGGTTATTTTGTGTCTCTTTGTGGTTGTTTTCTGTCTCTTTAAAGGTTTTTTATGTCTCTTTGAGGTTTTTTTGTGTCTCTTTGAGGTTGTTTTGTGTCTCTTTGTGGTTGTTTTGTTTCTCTTGTTGACGGCTTATGTCTCTGTGGTCCTACAGTGTCTCTTTGTGGTTGTTTTGTGTCTCTTTGAGGTTGTTTTGTGTCTCGTGGTTGTTTTCTGTCTCTTTGAGGTTATTTTGTGTCTCTTTGTGGTTGTTTTCTGTCTCTTTAAAGGTTTTTTATGTCTCTTTGAGGTTTTTTTGTGTCTCTTTGAGGTTGTTCTGTGTCTCTTTGTGGTTGTTTTGTTTCTCTTGTTGACGGCTTATGTCTCTGTGGTCCTACAGTGTCTCTTTGTGGTTGTTTTGTGTCTCTTTGAGGTTGTTTTGTGTCTCGTGGTTGTTTTCTGTCTCTTTGAGGTTATTTTGTGTCTCTTTGTGGTTGTTTTCTGTCTCTTTAAAGGTTTTTTATGTCTCTTTGAGGTTTTTTTGTGTCTCTTTGAGGTTGTTTTGTGTCTCTTTGTGGTTGTTTTGTTTCTCTTGTTGACGGCTTATGTCTCTGTGGTCCTACAGTGTCTCTTTGTGGTTGTTTTGTGTCTCTTTGAGGTTGTTTTGTGTCTCGTGGTTGTTTTCTGTCTCTTTGAGGTTATTTTGTGTCTCTTTGTGGTTGTTTTCTGTCTCTTTAAAGGTTTTTTATGTCTCTTTGAGGTTTTTTTGTGTCTCTTTGAGGTTGTTCTGTGTCTCTTTGTGGTTGTTTTGTTTCTCTTGTTGACGGCTTATGTCTCTGTGGTCCTACAGTGTCTCTTTGTGGTTGTTTTGTGTCTCTTTGAGGTTGTTTTGTGTCTCGTGGTTGTTTTCTGTCTCTTTGAGGTTATTTTGTGTCTCTTTGTGGTTGTTTTCTGTCTCTTTAAAGGTTTTTTATGTCTCTTTGAGGTTTTTTTGTGTCTCTTTGAGGTTGTTTTGTGTCTCTTTGTGGTTGTTTTGTTTCTCTTGTTGACGGCTTATGTCTCTGTGGTCCTACAGTGTCTCTTTGTGGTTGTTTTGTGTCTCTTTGAGGTTGTTTTGTGTCTCGTGGTTGTTTTCTGTCTCTTTGAGGTTATTTTGTGTCTCTTTGTGGTTGTTTTCTGTCTCTTTAAAGGTTTTTTATGTCTCTTTGAGGTTTTTTTGTGTCTCTTTGAGGTTGTTCTGTGTCTCTTTGTGGTTGTTTTGTTTCTCTTGTTGACGGCTTATGTCTCTGTGGTCCTACAGTGTCTCTTTGTGGTTGTTTTGTGTCTCTTTGAGGTTGTTTTGTGTCTCGTGGTTGTTTTCTGTCTCTTTGAGGTTATTTTGTGTCTCTTTGTGGTTGTTTTCTGTCTCTTTAAAGGTTTTTTATGTCTCTTTGAGGTTTTTTTGTGTCTCTTTGAGGTTGTTTTGTGTCTCTTTGTGGTTGTTTTGTTTCTCTTGTTGACGGCTTATGTCTCTGTGGTCCTACAGTGTCTCTTTGTGGTTGTTTTGTGTCTCTTTGAGGTTGTTTTGTGTCTCATGGTTGTTTTCTGTCTCTTTGAGGTTATTTTGTGTCTCTTTGTGGTTGTTTTCTGTCTCTTTAAAGGTTTTTTATGTCTCTTTGAGGTTTTTTTGTGTCTCTTTGAGGTTGTTCTGTGTCTCTTTGTGGTTGTTTTGTTTCTCTTGTTGACGGCTTATGTCTCTGTGGTCCTACAGTGTCTCTTTGTGGTTGTTTTGTGTCTCTTTGAGGTTGTTTTGTGTCTCATGGTTGTTTTCTGTCTCTTTGAGGTTATTTTGTGTCTCTTTGTGGTTGTTTTCTGTCTCTTTAAAGGTTTTTTATGTCTCTTTGAGGTTTTTTTGTGTCTCTTTGAGGTTGTTTTGTGTCTCTTTGTGGTTGTTTTGTTTCTCTTGTTGACGGCTTATGTCTCTGTGGTCCTACAGTGTCTCTTTGTGGTTGTTTTGTGTCTCTTTGAGGTTGTTTTGTGTCTCATGGTTGTTTTCTGTCTCTTTGAGGTTATTTTGTGTCTCTTTGTGGTTGTTTTCTGTCTCTTTAAAGGTTTTTTATGTCTCTTTGAGGTTTTTTTGTGTCTCTTTGAGGTTGTTTTGTGTCTCTTTGTGGTTGTTTTGTTTCTCTTGTTGACGGCTTATGTCTCTGTGGTCCTACAGTGTACCTTTGAGGTTGTTTTGTGTATATTTGCGTAAACGTATCTAGGTTTAAACAACATAAATACTGGAACACAAAACAAAATAATGTGTTAAATATGTTTTGTAGAATAAATATGGAAATAACATCAGTTGTCTGAGGTCACAGAGGTCAAAGGTCACTCAGACAATAATAACATATTTAACTTGTTTCATTGTGAATATTTAATACTAACAACATTTTCAGGGCTCAAAATATGATTCGTGTAAACGGTTTCCCTGAGGTCGTCTTTTTGTTCCCAGTGAAATGTTAATCTAAATATTTCTTCAGCTTGCTGATGTCATGCAGTGAAGTAGTGACTCTACTTATCTTTATTTGATCACTGTGATCTTTATTAATTAATGTCTCTTGCTAACAGCCTCCACACGTTGGAAATATTATTATTATTGTTATTATTATTGAAAGCTCCACACTGTCTCTTTTTTTCTTTAATAACTGGATGTTTAATTTTAATTTCACGACATTTAAAGTGAGGGCAGAGGTGATAAAGCTGCTCTCAGAGGAAAGCCGAGTTCAGCCGGTGATGTCGAAACTGTGCCGGCAGCTGATTGGTCTACAGACAGCAGGTGAGCGGTGCTGACAGGTGAGAATCCTGAAGCCTTCATTCATAATTCAGCAGCTTGACTTTGTGTCTCTGACAGAGGAAACTCCGACAGGCTGAGGGTGAGTTCAAAGTCTCACAACAACAACACAAACACACATTTATTTATTTGTTTATTGATTGATTATTGATTAATGATGATGTCATTATTTGTCCTGGCGTTACCTTGTGATTTCAGACTGAAACTCGTCATGGATCTGGACAGCATCGGTAAACTCTTCTTCTCCTGTGTTTGTCTTTCTGTATCTGTCTGACATCCTGTTGTTGTTTTTGTTGTTGGTCTGTTGTTTCCTTTATGTTTTACTTGATGTTTATTTGTTTCAGAGGGACTGAATGAAATCCGCCCGTCCATCTACAGAGTGGCCATGAAGCTCCTGTCTCTGCAGAGACTCTGTCACCGTCAGTTATTTGTGGTGTTATTCTACACAAACTACTTTGTTTACCTGTTTGTTTACATGTTTCCAGTTTGGTGGTGCCTGTTTGACACATCATGTGTTTGTTTGTTTATTAAATGTGTTTGTGTGTTTATATTTGTTCATTGTTTCATCTGTGTTTTTATGTTTATGCGTTTGTTTGTGTTTATTTATTGATGTTGTTTCTTTGTGTTTATGGTGTTTGTGTTTATTTGTGTTTGTTGATATATGTGTTTATTAATTTGTTGTTTCTTTGTGTTTGTTTTTTTACATTTTTTATGTTTTTATTTGTCAATGTTGTTTGTGTGTATATGTTTGTTTACTTGTTTGTGTGTTTATTTGTTCATGTTTCTGTGTTTGTTTATATGGTTATTTGTTGTTTAGGTATTTATGGGTTTGTTAATGTTTGTTTACGTGTTATTTGTGTTTATGTTGCTTGTTTGTGTTTGTTTTTTTGTTTATGGTTTGTTTATTTCTTGTTCTTGTTTCTTTGTGTTTCTTTATGTTTGATTGTGTGTTTATTGTTTATGTTACTATGTTTCCAGTGGACGTGGTGACCGTTCGACACATCACGGCAGCCCTCCACTCACAGCAGGAAGTGGAGCTGAACCGGCAGGAAGTGACCCAGACTCTGGACAGTATGTTCCACAGTGTGTCACAGGACGTTCCGGGTCATGTGACGGTGGCGGCTCCAGAGGAGACGTGCAGTCTGATGTTCAAACTCAACGACCGGTCAGAGTTTTACACGCACACCTAAACTTGTGTTTATGTTTATTATTTAATGTTATATGTTTATTTCTGTTTGTTTATATGTTTATAAGAGTAAACATGTGTTTGTGTTTCAGGACTCAGTCTGGTTTCATATCAGCGGTGTCTCTTCAAACATCTCTCATCGCTCTGTCAGCTGAAACTCTGTTGGGAAAATACAGAGGTGAGGCTGTCTCCTTCAAAATAAAACACACAGGTCATGGTCACTGTAGTTAGGAACAGTGTTTCCTTCAGAATAAGAGCGTGTGGTTGTGTGTGTGCAGCTGTGGTCCGTGTTGCCGGGGACGGTTCAGGATCTGTCAGCAGGTCTGGAGTCAGGTCTGTGCTGCAGGACCTCAGCCAGGTAAACACAGTACACACTACATTTCCCAGCATGCCCCTCTCCTCCTCTGTCTCACTAACACCTGTGTGGTCAGGTCCCTGCGGCGGTGCAGGAGGAGGGAGTGTTTGGTGAAGTGGAGGCGGCAGTGAGGTCGTGTTTTAACTGGGTGAGTACACAGATTGGCTGCAGGTGATGGGTGGACGTCGTGGCGACACACTGACCACCTGCGCGTGCCTACAGGTGCTGACGCCAAAGGCCACTGAAGAACACGTGTTGGCGTGGCTGCAGAATGAGCCACGCCTGTTGCTATGGTTACCCACTTTGTATCGCCTGTCCGTCAGTCAGAGTGTCAGTCACACTGTCCGCTGCCACACCTGCAAGACCCTGCCCATCACGGGACTCAGGTGAGCCGACAGCGTCCAATCAGAACGTCACAAAGTAATTCCGTTAAACCAGTGGTGTCATATATCAGAGTGTGTTCAGGTATCGCTGCATGAAGTGTGTGAACGTCCACCTGTGTCAGAGCTGCTTCCTGACGGACAGACAAACGAGGAAACACAAGACTTACCACCCAGTGCTTGAGTTCTGCACACAGGTATGAACACACAGGTGACATCATACAGATGACATCACACAGGTGACATCACACAGGCACAGAGAGGTTCTCCGAGATCTCGTCGTTAATCTTGAGTTTGTCCGTCAGCCCACCTGGAAGGAATCTCTTTCCTCGTTAGTGCACAGCGCTCGACACGCCCTGTTGCCACGGCAATACACTCAGAGAGAGGTCGACAGGAGGAGGGTCCTGATGTGGGCGGAGCCAGGTCAGACTCAGGACAGGTGAGGCAGGTGGGGGTCAGACATCAATACTTGTTAAAGATTGTCTTTAAGTAATTAGAGTTTTTGTTTCTCAGTGCTCCGCCCCCCTCTGACGCCTCAACACGACTGGCTGCCTCAGCCGTCAGTCACGGTCAGGCGCGACCTCCTACCTGCTCGTTTTCATCCAAAGCTCTGCAGACTGACGAGGAGACACCGACTCAGGAGGTGACTAGCTCAGTGTGGGCTGATGTTAGACTGTTGGTTTTATAATGATAATAATAACGTGTTGTTGTTGATGTTGTTGTTGATGACCAGCTGAAGGCGTCTGCTCTGCTCACTGAGGTCAGAAACCTGCAGAGAGACAAATGGTAAGACACCAGTATGAAACCATCTCAGACTGGTCTGCAGTCACTTCATCTTCTTCTTCTTCTTCTTCTTCAGGCTGATGGAGCAGCAGCTGCAGGCGTGGAGGCTCACCGTCCAATCAGAGCAGAGCATCCTGGAGGACAGGTGCTCCGAGATGGAGGTTACCATGGAAACACTGAGAGAACACAACCTCCGTCTGCAGAGCACGCTCACACAGGTAAATACACACAGGTAACAGCATGGAGGTAAAGGAGTTGTTAGCCTGGAGGTAAAGGAGCTGTTAGCCTGGAGGTAAAGGAGTTGTTAGCCTGGAGGTAAAGGAGTTGTTAGCCTGGAGGTAAAGGAGCTGTTAGCCTGGAGGTAAAGGAGTTGTTAGCCTGGAGGTAAAGGAGTTGTTAGCCTGGAGGTAAAGGAGCTGTTAGCCTGGAGGTAAAGGAGTTGTTAGCCTGGAGGTAAAGGAGTTGTTAGCCTGGAGGTAAAGGAGCTGTTAGCCTGGAGGTAAAGGAGTTGTTAGCCTGGAGGTAAAGGAGTTGTTAGCCTGGAGGTAAAGGAGCTGTTAGCCTGGAGGTAAAGGAGTTGTTAGCCTGGAGGTAAAGGAGTTGTTAGCCTGGAGGTAAAGGAGCTGTTAGCCTGGAGGTAAAGGAGTTGTTAGCCTGGAGGTAAAGGAGTTGTTAGCCTGGAGGTAAAGGAGCTGTTAGCCTGGAGGTAAAGGAGTTGTTAGCCTGGAGGTAAAGGAGTTGTTAGCCTGGAGGTAAAGGAGCTGTTAGCCTGGAGGTAAAGGAGTTGTTAGCCTGGAGGTAAAGGAGTTGTTAGCCTGGAGGTAAAGGAGCTGTTAGCCTGGAGGTAAAGGAGTTGTTAGCCTGGAGGTAAAGGAGTTGTTAGCCTGGAGGTAAAGGAGCTGTTAGCCTGGAGGTAAAGGAGTTGTTAGCCTGGAGGTAAAGGAGTTGTTAGCCTGGAGGTAAAGGAGCTGTTAGCCTGGAGGTAAAGGAGTTGTTAGCCTGGAGGTAAAGGAGTTGTTAGCCTGGAGGTAAAGGAGTTGTTAGCCTGGAGGTAAAGGAGTTGTTAGCCTGGAGGTAAAGGAGTTGTTAGCCTGGAGGTAAAGGAGTTGTTAGCCTGGAGGTAAAGGAGTTGTTAGCCTGGAGGTAAAGGAGCTGTTAGCCTGGAGGTAAAGGAGTTGTTAGCCTGGAGGTAAAGGAGCTGTTAGCCTGGAGGTAAAGGAGCTGTTAGCCTGGAGGTAAAGGAGTTGTTAGCCTGGAGGTAAAGGAGCTGTTAGCCTGGAGGTAAAGGAGTTGTTAGCCTGGAGGTAAAGGAGCTGTTAGCCTGGAGGTGAAGGAGCTGTTAGCCTGGAGGTAAAGGAGTTGTTAGCCTGGAGGTAAAGGAGTTGTTAGCCTGGAGGTAAAGGAGTTGTTAGCCTGGAGGTGAAGGAGTTGTTAGCCTGGAGGTAAAGGAGTTGTTAGCCTGGAGGTGAAGGAGTTGTTAGCCTGGAGGTGAAGGAGTTGTTAGCCTGGAGGTGAAGGAGCTGTTAGCCTGGAGGTGAAGGAGCTGTTAGCCTGGAGGTGAAGGAGCTGTTAGCCTGGAGGTGAAGGAGCTGTTAGCCTGGAGGTGAAGGAGCTGTTAGCCTGGAGGTGAAGGAGCTGTTAGCCTGGAGGTGAAGGAGCTGTTAGCCTGGAGGTGAAGGAGCTGTTAGCCTGGAGGTGAAGGAGCTGTTAGCCTGGAGGTGAAGGAGCTGTTAGCCTGGAGGTGAAGGAGCTGTTAGCCTGGAGGTAAAGGAGCTGTAAACAACATCTCCTCTGCTGGAAAAGGTACAACAATAAACTTCTTCTCTTCAGTCTCGCCTGTTTCAGCTCCGCTCTGCTCATGGCAACATTTTAACACTGCGATTTCATGATGTTGGTCCTTCTTCAGGCTCTGAACAAGATGGAGGCCCAGGAACGCACGGACAACCCGCCACAGAGCCTTGACCAGGAGAACATGGAGAACACGGAGAGAGCAAACTTTACACCAACTTCTGACACAGAGATAAACACAGAAGAGGAAGACGAAGTGCTGCTGAAGACTGAAGACGAGTGGAGCGAAGAACTACAAACTCCATCCCCCACAATTCACCAGGACACACTTCTGACACATGACACCAACTGTGAGGAAGAAGAGGAGGAGTCCGCAGGTGGCTGGTTTCTCTGTCATCCTTTAGTACAACAGGACAGAGCGGAGGAGGCGGAGCCACAGGAGGAGGACACCGGTCTGTCTGAAGAGGAAGAGGAGGCTTGTGGGATGTGTAGTCCAGAGGAGCTACTGCAGGAGACTGTAGAGAGACTGAAGACTGTGATGGAGACAGACAGATGGAGACAGAGACAGACAGGTGAGTCAGTGTTGAATTTAAATGATGATGTAATGTTCCCATGTGTCTCTCCTCTCTTCGGCTCCGCTACAACGCTAACAGTGTGCAACACTAGCTAACTAAGAAATGGAGTCCGTTTACGTCCACAAACGACCACTTAAACACAGAATCCACACAGAGATGGACCTTCACTTAGCTCCCTGTAGCAACTCGAATTCAGCGGGAGCAGGACGAGAGTGCTGGGGCTCTGATCTCGGACCGAATCCCCACCGGATCAGCAAACATTTTGTTGCTGCTGTAACATTGTCGTTAGACCCTGCTGTGAATCCTGGGGTTGTGGCTGGCTGAATTTTACTTGCCACAATGGCTAAGATCGGAGCTACTGCTCGCTCTCCTCCCAGAGAAATAGTGACCTAACGCTGGAGAGTGTGGCAGAGAGTCCATGGGGTGTGCTAGCTAGCTAAAGATAAACCATAAATCCATCAATTTGGGTGCCACCCAATGCTGAAAAGAAATCCTAACACTGTGAAACATTTCTAACATTGTGGTTTTAGCTTGCTAATGTTAGCTAACGTTAACTTGTTTGTAACACGGACAAATTCCTAGCTAGCTAATGCTAGCAAAATACTGTCCTGAGAGATTAACGTCAGGGGTCTCATTTATAAAACAGCGTAGGATCCATACTAAAAAAAGGACAAAAACCAAAACACTTTCGACAATCAGGCTTCCACCTCACTATCTGCATCACCAATTTACTGTCTCCAAAATATTCGTAATGGGTCAAAGTCAAAGTTTCTCCCATCAAGTCTGTTTTTATAGATCACAACTGTTGCGTGGGAAGTGGTGTACGCCTCTTTCGGGCCTTGTTTAATGTATACGCAATGTTTAAAAATGAGACTCCAGGAGCTAATCTGGCTGGTAAATTAGCTAGCTTGCCATTTTCACATTACTTTAAGTAGCAACCGACATCAGGTCACTGCAGCGCACCTCACTTACAGCTAGCTGGCTAACCGTAGCTTGCTTGATTGGTAACAATATTGCTACCAAAATACTATGTCTGATGGCTAGCTTGCCAAATTACATTTTCAGTTAACGTTAGGAAGCAACTAACACTAGATCCATATGGTGTAGCTAAATAAGTTAGCTAGTTAACTCGGCTTGCTTGCTAATAATATTGCTAGCAAAATACTAACTTAGTGGACATGTTTTTCGACTAGCTTGTCAAATTACTTAATCAGTTAACGTTATAAAATGACCAACAGATCAATACAGTGTAGCTTAGTTACATCTAGCTGGCTAACTTGGCTTGCTCACTAACAATATGGCTAGCATAATACTATGAGTGGATATGTCCGTTGGCTAGCATATCAAATTACTTTATCACCTAATGTTACGATGTAACCAACACCAGATTAATATAGCATAGCTAGCTTAAAGCTAGCTTGCAAACTAAAAAAGCTGATTTACTGATTTCTTTGTTTAAATAACTTATGTTCATTTTGATTCATGTTTTTAAATTTCCTGTCTTCAGGTGAGAGCAAGAGGGAGGAGCTTCTGGAGGCTGCAGACCAGGTGGGAGACTCGATACACCACCTGGTGGACGCTGTCAGAACTGACACACACTGACAACTTTGTGTTCAGGTTACAAAAAGCTGTTTATTGTTGATATATAAATAAAGACGAGTGTAAAGGTAGAAAAGATCAAAGGACAGCACCTTAAGAAAAGGTTTAGTGTCACAAACTGCCAACATTATCATAAAATAATTTCATCAAACTCTAGTTTCATTTTCTATTTGTGTGCACAGGTTTTTTGTATGTTTAAATAATTTCTACTTTTCTGTGATTTCATGAAAAAATAAAATAAAAAAATAAAACTTATGAATAAGGTTTTAAAAACAGGTTCATTTGTATTTTTCTGCACACAGATGTAAAATGATCTTTGATATTGATCAGATGATTTTATTCTAATATCGACATCAAGTCAAGTCCAGCAGCCTCGTTTATAAACCCACAGTCACGGTTGTGGATCGTCTGACGTCCGACCTCTGAGTGATGAGTAAAGGCATCGTTCTGTAGTTTACAAACGAGGCTGATACCTGAACAGGTATCCTGCTACCTTCGTCCCCGCTCACAGCCCCTCCCCCTCCGGGCCCTCCCCCGGCGGGGTGAGGGGGGGTGAGGCGGGTCTGTGGAGCTGGGGACTCCCCTGCTGGGTCCCGCCCGGCGCAGGCCTTCTCTCCTGGGCTGGGGGGGCGTGGCCTGAGCCTTGGTTCTTCTTTTGGAGGGTGGGGGGCGTGTCCTGTCCCTCTTCCCTCCCCTCCCCCGCTCTGACCTGCTTGGAGGTGGAGGGGGCGGGTCTTGAGAAATCCTGCCCCGCCTCCCGGCTGCATCCTGTTTGTCAGTTTGTGCTGAGTCCCTACTGAGCGTGCTCAGCAGGAAACTGGCGTGGCTGTAGGGTGAGTCTGATGACCTCTGACCTTTGACCCTGGAGGACCCCGCGGCCCCCTCCCCCAGTGGCCTGTCAGCGTTCAGATCTGGACTCAGACTCCTGAACAGCTGACGGACACAAGGCGGGGGTGGGCTGGAGGTGGAACCCCGTCGCCACAGGAAGCCTTTGGGCAGGTTTTTTAGGATGCGGTTGCTGCTGGTGTCGTAGAACCTCACAGGAAGTTGTTTGTATTTGACCTTTAACCCCTGCAGGTCCAGCGGACGCCTCTTCTTCCTGCAGCGTTTGGGGGTGGAGCCTGGTGAAGGTGTGTAGGTGGGGGCGGGGCCTGAGGGGGAGCAGAGCAGATAGACCAGAGAGGTGCGAGGCTGCAGAGGTGTAACGATGTTCGAGTACGACGGAGGGAGACAGCGCCACACCTCAGGAGTCCTTTCTGCTGCTTCCTGATTGGCTACAGGGACACTGGTGGGCGGGGCCTCTGCGGCTGGTTGACGGATAGCAGGAACAACCAATTGGACTGTCTGAGTGCTGTGACTGACTTTGACCACCTGAAGAAACAAAGGCGATGACGGATGATGATATCACAACAACAAAAACTGACTGAAAACTGTCCGCCGGTCTCACCTGACACCTGGACGCCACTCTGAAGGCCCGCCTCTTCCTCTTCCTCCTGACGTATGCTGAGTCATCATCATGGTCCAACAGAGGCAGGACATCAGTGTCTGGCTCCTCCTCCTTGGACTCATCACAGCTCTTCTTGTTTTGGCTCCTCCTCCCGTACCTGGTGGCGATGACATCAGCAGAAACACAAAAGTTTGGTCACTTTAAAAGTAACAACTCTACCAGTGACAGTACAGGTGAGTCTGTGTCACACCTGGCCAGAGACTCGGTGTCAAAGTAGCAGATGAATCTCCCCCGTCTGAACTGTCGCACCAGTTTGTCCACCTTCTCCTCGTCCTCTTGTTCAATCTGGGTCCAGGTCTTCCCCCTGAAGGATTCTGGGATGTGTCGCGGGGCCGGTAGGACCTCCTCTATCGGTAGAGTCCAGATGCCCTGCTCCTGTCTGGCCCCACCCCTTGCTTGCCGATCGCTGTGAAGGGCGGACTCAAGCTGGTAGGAGTACATCTGGTCCTCCAGGTCCACCTGAACGTCCATCAGATGGCTCAGGTCCTGCTCCTCCACCTGGCTCAATGTTTGTCCTCGCTGTGAAACCAAGAGAAAGGTAAAATTACCACCTTGCACACAGTGACCCTGCCACCAAAGTCTAATCAGTTCATTCTTGACTCCAAGTGGACATTTGTGCCAATTTAGAAGAAATTCCATGTTTATGAGTTCTGCGTTTATGATAATGGGATGGATGAGGTCACACTGGTCTTGACCTTTGAACCACCAAGTTCTAAACAGTTTATACTTGAGTCAATGTGGACGTTTATGCCAAATTTGAGGAAACTCCTTCAAGGCCTTCTTGAGAAAATGCATTTATGAAATCGATAGCAAGATCACAGTGACCTTGACCTTTGATCACTAAAGTCTAATCCATTCATCGCTGAGTAAAGAGGAGGATGTTTGTGCCAAAATCTGAATGTTCTTGAAATGCCGCTTTCACAAGGTCAGCGCGGACGGACGGCCCAAAATAATAATGTCTACAGCCTCGACTGTTGCCAGTGTAGAGGCTTAATCTGTGACTGAGGTGTGTCACCAACTCCACCCTCCTCCAGCCAGAACACAGGTACCTGGGCAGGTGAGTCCCAGTTGTCACTCTGCGTTTCCATGGAAGCAGGGAGGCTGAAGTGGAAGCTGTCTGTTTCCTCCTGCTGGCAGGGAGGGGAACTGAAGCCATGGCAACATCTCTGGATAACCTGACGGTCAACAAAAACAGAAACGTACCATTAAGGTTGGGGGACCAGCTGAAGATAAAGGACTGACTGTGACAGACTGACAGACTGACGGACCTCCTCGATGGTCTGATCCACAGAGTCGCTGTGGTCCGAGGAGAACGCCTCCTCTTTTAGAGCCTCCCTCCTCTCCTTCTGCCAGCTCAGCCAGGGTCTCAGCTGTGAGGGGGGTCGCAGTCCAGGGCCTGGACCCTGACCAGGGCCTGGACTGGGGACAGAATCTGGGCAGGGCCTCAGCTGTGTGGCGGGCCGGGGACCAGGACCAGCACCTTGACTAGGGCTGGGTTCTAAGCAGGGCCTCAACTGCATAGGGAGCCGGGGACCAGGATGTGGACTGGGACCAGGGCCTAGACCAGGGCCTGCACTTGGGCCAGAATCTGAGCAAGGCCTCAGCTGTTTAGGGAGCCAGGAACCAGGACCTGGACTAGGGCCGGGTTCTGGGCATGGAATCAGCTGTGTGTGGGGCCGGGGACCAGGACTTGGGCCAGGGCCTGGACCGGGAACAGGGCTTGGGTAAGGACTGGGGCCCAGACTGGGACCAGGTTGTGGGCTGGGCCTCAGCTGTGTGGGGGGCTGGGGACTGAGACTGGGACCTGGACTGGAGTCTAGACAAGGACTGGGTTCTGGGCAGGGCCTCACCTGTGTGTGAGCCCGGGGACCAGGACTTGGGCCGGTGTCTGGACCAGGGTATGGACTGGGACCTGGGCTTGTGTCTGGACTTGAGCCTAGGCAGGGGCTGGGTTCTGGGCAGGGCCTTAGCTGTGAGGGGGGTAGGTGACTGGGGCTTCGGCTGGGGCCTGGACGGGGGCCTGGACCGGGGCCAGGGTCTGGGCAGGGCCTCAGCTCTGTGGGAGATCGCTGACCAGGATCTGGACCTCGGTGTGACGGTAAGGAGGTGGAGGAGTCGCTGGTTTTCCTTCTGTCCGTCTTCCTGTGAGCCTTCCTGTGGACAGAGGGCAGGGCCTGAGACTGTGGGGGCGGGGTCTGTAGGTGCGATGACTGTGTGTACCCTGTGGGAGCTGCTCCTCCTTCTTCCTGCTCTCTGATTGGTGCAGACAGCCTGTCTTCCTTCTGACTGGCCTGCTGGCAGGAGGCGTCGTCAGAGCTGGGCAGCTGCTCACGGGTGCCCTTCGATCGGCTGTCATCATCAGAGAAACAGAGATCATCAAGCTCCTCCCTCGGCAACAGAGGGGCGGAGACTGACGGGAGGTCGGCGTGAGACGGCCTGATGGAGACACAAACATGAACAAATCAAACATACACAGAGACAGGTGTGTTTGTTCCAGTCACCTGGGGTCGTTGTAGTGATGCAGGTGTTTGTTTCAGTCATCTGGGGTCGTTGCAGCAATGCAGGTGTGTTTGTTTCAGTCACCTGGGGTCGTTGTAGTGATGCAGGTGTGTTTGTTTCAGTCACCTGGGGTCGTCGTAGTGATGCAGGTGTGTTTGTTTCAGTCACCTGGGGTCGTTGCAGCAATGCAGGTGTGTTTGTTTCAGTCACCTGGGGTCGTCATAGTGATGCAGGTGTGTTTGTTTTAGTTACCTGGGGTTGTTGTAGCAATGCAGGTGTGTTTGTTTCAGTCACCTGGGGTCGTTGCAGCGATGCAGGTGTGTTTGTTTCAGTCACCTGGGGTCATTGTAGCGATGCAGGTGTTTGTTTTAGTCACCTGGGGTCATTGTAGCAATGCAGGTGTGTTTGTTTCAGTCACCTGGGGTCATTGTAGCGATGCAGGTGTGTTTATTTTAGTCACCTGGGGTCATTGTAGCAATGCAGGTGTGTTTGTTTTAGTCACCTGGGGTCACTGTAGCAATGCAGGTGTGTTTGATTTAGTCACCTGGGGTCGTTGTAGCGGTGCGGATGGTGCTGCAGGACGTCCTGCAGGAAACGCTCCAGCAGGGTTAGTTTGGTTCTGCTGCTGCTGGCGGAGGTGACGGTACTTGAGCCTCGGGAGGACGCCCGGACAGAATCCAGGTGTCTGAGACTGGACAGGTGCTGAGAGAGGAGACGCATGACATTGTTAACAAGTCTTAACTTCTGAGTGGACAGCTCAGGTCACACGACTGCAGCTCAGGTGTACCTGTTCCAGGTTGCTGTAGAGGACTCTGCAGTATCCACAGTAACCCTGTCTGCTGGGCTGACACCTGGACGGACCTGGCTGAGACTCCGCCCACATCCTGTCAGACAGAGGGAGGGGGAAAATATCCGTCAATCATGCATTCATTCAGACTGAGAGAAAACTGAACTGAGTTTGGTGAGGGGATGAATCTGGACTTCCCATACAGGTGGACTCACCTGCTGGTAGACTCCGCCTTTCTCTGGTCACCTGACAGACACACACACACACAGCACAGTGAGTGTAGTTAATGAAGTATAAAACATTAAACCATCAGAGTGTGTGTTTGTTTTTACCTTCATCTGAAGGGTGTGACATCCTGCTGCTGACTGGAGATCTGAAACACATTTACTATCTTTAATAATTTATAACTTCAATATTTAGCAACATTAATTATGTTAATGATGTCTCACCTGGAGGCAGTGCAGTCAGTGAGTTATCCATCCAATCAGAGCGCTCCATGCTGTAACCAACGGTAACCAGGTGAGAGTTTCAGGTGGAGACTCCATGAGCCTGGAGACAGGTGCTGTTTTGTTTATTCTTTCATTCACAACATTAAAGTTATTTATCATTTATAACATTTGTAAAATTAATTAAACAGCTTTGATTTTTTTTTTAACTAACTTTGTATTTAATTTTATTTTAAATTCTGTTTTTATAACTTATTTTTTAGAACTGTTTTCTGTTTTTGTTTTTTATTTAAAATTTAATTGTAACTGTTTTTTCATTATTAATATTTGTAACTGTTTTGTTTTTATTATTTTATTTATTTTAATTTAACCGTAACCGGACTATAATGACAAAGATCATTCATTTACTTGTATCTGTGACGTGGTCCAATCAGAGCACAGCTTTCACCCCGCTCTGCCCGGCTGACGCTCCAACTCGCGCTCTGATTGGCTGACTGTGTGAAGCTAACTAGCCGCGGCGCTACCAGCTCGGTGTTTAAAGCCCGGTTCGTTAAACTCGGGTTTAACACCGGGTCGAACCGGGGCTCCCGGTAACCATGGTGACGCTGCCTGCGGTGACGTGTCTCCTCCGTTACGGCTGCTGTTAGCGTTAGCAGCCGGCTAGCTGTTAGCATGCTGAGAAAGCTGAGCTACGGAGAAGCTGATTGGCTAGTTCGGGCAACCGATGCCGAACAATCGATAATCGATAGGTTTGTTTACCTGTAGCTGTTTGTTGTTGTTCTGTTGTTTACTTTCGCGCAGACTGAAGTGTTCTTCCTCCGCGCGCTGCTCCACAGCTCTGTTTAGTTTCCGGTCTGATTCTTCTTCTGCTGTTGCTCGATCCCCGGAAGAGTCTGAGACACTTCAGCAGAACAGCGCCCAACGGCCACACCCGGAACTGCACCCTGTTTATAAGGTGCTATGATCGATCCATCCATCAGTTTAAACCACACTCTGATTATTGATTATAGATCAGTTTATCAATTATGTTATTGTCAGAATTAAGCCTAGAAGTTTTACCTTTTAATCCCTAGATTTATTTATTTTCTTCAATTCTAAACAAGTTAAAAATAGGGAACAAAAATCACCATAAAATGTCCCCAGTTGAATACATACATGAACATTTCTTTTAATTGCAGCTTTTCCAACATTTTATTTTTCAATTAAAAAAAATAAAATAAAATAAAGTATTATCTAATTAAATGTGCTTTGTATACATTTCTAGAACAGAAATCTGAACTTAAGTGCATTTGATGTTTTTTTCCCCTCCAAATCTTAAAAACAAAAACACGTATGGAGCAAAATATCCCAGAATCTGAATCTTTCAATCACTGTGTGCCAGAGGGCGCCCCCTGCTGGTTCCCTTCAGAATAACTCAGACACACACACACACACACACACACACACACACACAATGGTTCTGTGTTGAAGTGCTCTTTATTAACATGACATTTGTTCTCAGATCTTGTTGAAAGCAGCGACGTCCATCGACTGAACGAAGTCCTCGAAGGCTGTGATCTGCTCCTCCAGGATGTCTGTGCCCACCTGACCACACATACACACAGGTAAATACACACAGGTAAATACACACACTCAAGGTAACACAAGCCGTAAAGTACAAACAGCAGATCAGAGAGCCGCTCACCTTGTCGTCTTCCACCACGCAGCTGATCTGCAGCTTCTTGATGCCGTAACCCACCGGGACCAGTTTGGCTGCAGGACAAGTAAACTGATCAGTATTTATCAATCAGGCTGTGATCAATTCGTATCAGTGTTTGTTTCTCTGCTGAGGTCTCAGATTGTTTGGTGACATCACACATTCAGCCGAAAGATGGTGAGTTAGATCATCACAGAATCTGCAGAGTTATAGTGGACTGACAGAGAGTACTGTATGCGCCAGTGTTATGTAGTACTGTATGAGCCAGTGTTA